CCTTTTTATAATTAGACAATTGTTTAATTCTGTGAGTTGATTTACCCTTCATTGCGTATGGACTAACATGCCACACAACAGATCCACGGCCGCAACTATACTCAAATTCTGGCCTGTAATTATAAAGTATATGAGAATTGGCATTGTTAGACATTATTCCATCATCGTCTCAAGTGAAATTATTCCATTGTCTCAGGTGAAATTTTACATTGTCTCAGATGAAATTATTCCGTCATCCTCTCAGTCCGAAAATGGGGACTTATAATTTGGTCTCTGTGCGTCCATGTGTTCGTGCGTTCGTCCGGAGTCATATCTCAGAATCCCTTGGACCGATTCCGTTCATTCTTTGCATGTGGCTAGTACTTTATGTGGGACATATGCACATGCAGTGGTTTAGCGATTCGATTCAAAATGGCCGACTGGCAGCCATCTTGTTTTTTGAAAATGTTGTATTTTGGACATGCTTTGTTAGTTTTCATTCAAACTTGGTACATAGATCATACATGTTAGGACACATGTCCATGATGATTTATTTCACAATTGGATCAAAGATGGCCGACTGGCAGCCATCTTGTTTTTTGAAAATGTTGTATTTTGGACATGCTTTGTCAGTTTTCATTCAAAAATTTAGTACATAGATCATACATGTTAGGATACATGTCCCTGGCCGTCCGTGAGTTCCTGAGTCTGTTCGTCCGTCCGTGTGTCTGTGCGTCAGTCTATCCAACGTCATATTTCAGAATCCTGTGGACCGATTCCATTCATTCTTTGCATGTGCCTAGTACCTTATGTGGGACATATGCAATGCAGTGGTTTAGCAATTCGATTCAAAATGGCCGACTGGCAGCCATCTTGTTTTTTGAAAATGTTGTATTTTGGGCATGCTTTGTCAGTTGTCATTCAAGCTTGGTACATAGATTATACATGTTAGGATACATGTCCATGACAATTTATTTCGCAATTGGATCAAAGATGGTCGACTGACAGCTATCTTGTTTTTTTATATGCGGTATCTTGGACGTGCTCCGTCAGTTTTCATTCAAATTTGGCACATACATGTACTTTATACATGTTAGGATGCATGTCCATGACAATTTGTTTCAAAGGATGGCCGATTGACAGCCATCTTGTTTTTTGAAAATGTTGTATTTTGGGCATGCTTTGTCAGTTGTCATT